CGAGTTGAAGCAAGTAATTAAGCTTTCCCATCCGAGCCATCTTGTCCATGTATTTGTAGTCACTACTTTCGACTCATCTTCTATTGCCACCTTGTAGAATTTTGCTCCTTCCGTTTCTCCAAAACTTGGGAGTTCGTGACCTAAAGTGCCATATAGAACAGGAACCAACAACCCTAACCACATAGTACTAAGAAGTATTTGAGGTTCCCCCATGGGTATGATTAAGATATCAGTCGTGTATGCTCCTTAGATTTCTAGGGTGACCGACCCGCAATACCCTTCACCTTTAACTTCATACCATCCACAACTTGCACGGTGAAGACCCTCTCGTTACAGACAATCCCAACCATTTGCACCACTGAGCGATCGACAAAGTTATGTGTTACGCACGAATCCACTAGCATCGAAACCGATCAACTGCTTATTCCTACAAAATGCAGGGATTTAGCCCACACACACATGCCCCGCGCATGCTCTAACAATTAATTCAACTTTGGTACATTATGTGATGCATTATGATCCAATTCTCGATTGTCAAACACCCCTTGTTTGTCCATCATTTCCTTCATCATCAAATGACACTCCCTCAAATATTAACATTTTTTTTGTGTTTAATTTACAATGATGACCAGCAACATACTTTTCATCGCAATGAAAACATAGACCCTTCTCTTATCCTTCTTTGGCCTCATATATGGATTCTGGCTGTCATCGACAATATGGGTAATGAGGAGATGTCCACACAGCAAAGCACACTTGAGAGAGAGTTGAAGGGGATTTACTATAATTTATCATGTTAATAATAAAGTGCAAGAGCCTCTATTCCATGTCTATGAGGGTAATACAGTCATTAATAAAAAACAACACCTAAATTTTAAAGGATGTTAAAAAAGGACTTAATTCGTAACTGAGGTGTGGTATCATGACTAAGTTGAGGAAGAAAAAAGTGTGGGGACCAATTTGAGTATGAGGCCCTAGTACAAGGACCATATTGGCGTTTTAGCCAAGAATAAATATAACAAGTTAAAGCCCTAAGAATTTGCCCAGTGACAACTAATTAAGGATCTTACTTATTATATAGTGTAGATGTAGGTAGATATCATATAGCTATAAATAAAGTGTATTTTAATTAATAAATAATTATTATTGATTTGCTAAGATTGAAGATTATTATGAGAAGAATTTGAAGGATTAATATAGTATAAGTACATATGCATGTATGCATATGCACGTAATTATGATTATATATGCATGTATATGTTTTATATGTGCATGTATGTGGTTTGGAGGATATTTTAAGAAGAAATATTTTAATATCCCAATCCACTTTGATAATACTATAAGATTTGAGATTATATTAAACAAAAATGCAAGGCTAAATTAGGAAGTCCAACTTGAAAAGACAGTATAAAATATTATTATCACTGATGCCATTTCACTCATCCCCCCACCCCCACCCCTAACCTTCTCTCATTTTTAGGGGCTGTTTGGTTGTTTTCCGAAAAAAATCGGAAATGGAAATGTCACATTTCATTTGCTTTCATCACATTTCAAGACATTTCCCAGTTTTCTTTTTTCTGTTTGTTTCGCAAAGAAATCACCCCATTTCACCGCCATGTCATACTAAAAACAAAAAAAGCCGCAATAGTAACAGTAGAATAGATTTCCATTTCTTGTGTTTGTTTGTGAAAAAAAAAAGAGAAATATAGGTCAGCCGTAATAGTAACAGTAAAATCAGCATTTAAATAATCTGTTTTATTCTCTTATACTATTTCAACAGTGCTTTTATTAATTAAAGATTCATAGAAGTGACATTTTCAAGTGTTTTCAGAGGTTTTTGGTGTGAAAACACATTTCTTAAAATTTGACATGGCATCCCCCTTTTCTTAAAACTCAAAATGTAACAAACATGTGAAATGGAAAACGGTTGAAACCAAAATCTGAGGTGGCAGGGGGGATTTCCTCAAAGGGGCTGTTTGGTTCGTTTCCTTGATATAGAGAAATGCAATTCCACATGTAAAGAAACACAAGTTTTGAGTTTTCCAAACTTTTCCAAGAAATAGATTGTGTTGCTTTGGTTCGCACATAAAAAATTGTGGGAAACCAATGTATTTATTTTTCTTATGTTTGGTTCGCATAGAAAAAAAAAGAAAACTTTTGTAAACAAAGCAGAGAAGGAAAAAATCTGACGTGGTAGAGTTTTTATCAATTTTACTTGGTTGGGGAAGGAAATCGGAGAGGGAAAAAAATCTTAGTTGGCGACGATTTCAGCAGAGTTTTTCCTCTTCCATTCGAGCGAACCAAAGAGGCACAAAGAAATGGACGGAAACAAAAAAGCTGACGTGGAGGGCTAAAAATCTGACGTGGAGGGGTTTTCTGAATTTTCCACCCCTTATAATAGCGAACCAAACAGCCCCAAAGGTGACATTGAGAAAAGGTTAAAGATGACAGAGAATTGACATGGTGGGGGGGGGGGTTCTCATTTTTTTTGGGCAAACAAACAGCCCCTAAGCATAAAAGTAAAAATTACATTCAATCTATTAATTTTAAAATATAAAATATAGGCATTGATCTTGTGCTCGGACGAATTATTTTGATTTTTTAATTTATATATCTTTGTTCATACGCCCTTCTAATACATTATGCTACCCTAGTTTAATAAGAGAGATGAATGATTGTATTTTTTATAGCCTATAATCTACAAATCATCTGTCACTAATACCTATTAAATCTTATAAAGAAAAAGATAATGATTATCACTTTTTGCTATGTTATAAGAATAAGAGAATAAATTTTTTTATTAATTAAATTATATAGCTTGACCGGTAGGTTTTTTCTTAGATAAATTACAAGTTTAAGTTTGAAATTTAAAATTAGATAGCCTAACAATCAATCAACTTTACAGATGTAAATAAAAAAATAATGTTTTTTAAAAACTAAAAAACGAGTGCGATTTTAATGTCTCCAGATTTTAATCAATGCTCATGTTAGGTTCACTCGAGATTGAGATATGAATGAGATTAAAACTTCTCTCTAATCCCCAAAATGGATAGTAAGAAGTTTTACCATTCCCCACTATTAAGGACATAAGATTTCCCATGACCATTATACCCTCCTATGTTATGCATTCCTCACACCAATGTTATATTATAATATGATATGTTGAATTGTGGGACCTCTTACAATTTTAAAATTTTTGTGTGTGTTTGTAAAGTTTTTGAGTGTTGTTTATAATTTGCAAAACTTTCAAAGGGTGGCTGTAAAGGTTTATGGAGGCTGTTTTGTAAAATTTTTGTGGGGTTATTTGTAATTGACAAAACTTTCAAAGACTTTTGTAAATTCTTTTATGGTGTTTAAAATTTTGGAAAATTTCAAGGTATTTTTTGTAAATATTTTTATATTTTCATAATATTTTAAACTTTCTGCATAATACTTAACCACTTTTATGGGGCTAGTTGTAAACCTTTCTAAAATATTCAAGTGGGCTATTTATAATTTTGAACTTTTAGAGAACTATTCATAATTTTCAAAAATTCTAGGATTTATTTGTAATTTATGGATTTTAAAAAGGGAAGATTATGATTTTCTAAATTTTAAGGTCCTATTTGTAATTCTCACATATATCAGGGGTTTATTAATAATTTTTTAATCTGAAGAGGTTTTTTGCAACTTTCATGGGGCTATTGTAATTTTTAGATATTTTATGGAGTGTTTGTAATTTTTAAATCTTTCAATGTATTGTTTGTATATTTTTAGGAAGTCATTTGTAATATTTTAAAATTTTCAACAGCGTGTGTGTTATTCTCACAACTTTCATGGGGTTAATTGCAAAAATTTTACATGACAGTTTGTAAAAATTTTAAAGGGATATTTATATTTTTTAAAGTTTTTAAGGGATGGTTTGTAAAATTTCCAAGGGGTTGTTTATAAAATTTTAGGGGGCGATTTATATTTTGAAGTTTTTATATGATTTTTCTAATTTCTGGATTTTCTAGAGATTGATTGTAATTTATGGATGTTAAAAGGGGCTATTTATAATTTTTTAAATTTTATGATGCTATTTGTAATTTCTGGATATTCTTATGGTTCATTTATAATTTTCAATCTTAATTGATTGTTTGCAAATTTCTAACTTTTTTGGGCCTATTCGCAATTTTAATTTTATCAAGAGGTTTCTAATTTTTGGATCTTAGAGATAGTTTATAAATTTTTTTAATTTTGAAAGGGTTAGGTGATAATTTTCTAATCTTGAAGAGCCCTGTTATATAAAGGAGGATTTGGTTAATAGAAATTTTAAATTATAGATAATTTTAATTTGATAAGGATTCTTAGGTAAATTAGGATTAGGAAGCAAGGATACGATTATGATATTTCATTATTTATGGATAATGATAATTTGATTAGGATTATCAATATTTAATTATTAAAAATTTCTAATTATGAATAGGTTTAATTTGATGAGGATTCTTATTTAAGTGAAGATAGCATTAGGTATTTATGTGCCATTTTCTGGTAGGATAGCCGGACATATTACCATTTTTTAATATGACACCATGTCAAGGATACATATGGGACATGCTAGTTTTTTATGCATTTCCAAGAACCACCAATTTCTCATTATATATAGAGAAGGGATGTAGCAAATGTATGACACGTGTTATTTTTTATGTTTTTAGAAGAACCATCAATTTTTCATTATATATAAATATAAAGGAGGGGACAACAAAGAGGGATAATGAAAAGTAAATTAAAAGATGAGACGTTTCCCTTTAAACAATGCAAAACTTTATTTGGATTTTTAAAATTTTATAATGTCATATATATTTCTAGAGTTGAGGAAGGTAAAAACACCCCAAACTTTATACAGAGTTTTCTCTAATTTTCAAAATTGATGATTACTTTATGCAAAATCACCCAAAGTCCAGGGAGTTTTCTGAAGTTTCCCCGTACCCGGGCCATGATTAGATCGTAGAACACTCCAGAATCTCTTCGCTTCCCTCCTCGATATAATATCTCCCTCTTTTGCGTAGCGCTCTCTCTCCAAGTCATCGCTTGGTCTCATCTCTCTCTGATTCCTTCTCTGAATCTAATGGCATCGGATCTCGAGAAGAAAGCCAAGGAGGCGTTCGTCGACGACGACTTCGAGCTGGCCGTCGACCTCTACTCTCAGGCGATCGAGATGGATCCTATGAATGCTGATCTATACGCGGATCGAGCCCAGGCCAACATCAAGATCAACAGCTTCACCGGTGAAAATAGGCACTTCGATTTTTTTTTTAAGTTATTGATTTCACTTTGTCTTTGTCAATCGATAAATTAAACTTTGATGCCCTAAAGTTTAATCCTTTTTTAACATTGTTTTGTTTTTATAATTAACTATTGATATATGAAACTGCAGAGACCTTGAGGTCAAAAGTTTTTTCCCCCTTTCCAGCATAGAAAAGTGAATGAGAAACTAATCCTCTTAATGACCAAATTTCAGTTTTTTGAGTTTGGGGAAATCGAGGAACAAAACACTGGTTTTGAGGCACCAAAATTTCAAATTAACGTCAATATGAACTGGAGTATCAAATTGTCAAAATAGAACTCCGTATTATCAAAGTTGAAAAGGGCGAAGCTTTGGGTATTGCAGTGCGATTAACCCTTTTAGTTATTATTATTATTATTATTACGTAACTGATTCCTCACTCTTGCTTTGTTTAATTTTTGTTTTCAATTTTAATTTGTTTCTTTGTCTTATGGTTTATAAATTGAAGTTGACTTGATTTGGTCAAAATAATGCGTTTTATGCTTTGTGTGAATGGTTAACGTAGGAGTTTTTTTAACATCCGAACTATTACCCTGAATTAATCTTATGCACACCCATTTCCAAAATCACCCATACACCGAAAACACTTACATTTGATATTTTACCCTTTTTCATGCATGGTAACTAAAAATATAGCAGTTTGGCAAATATTATAGCAGTTTTGATTGAATTATAGCAATTCCCTCATACTTATACTAACACATGGGTTTAAAAAATAAATTAGCTTGGGTATTTTGAGTATATGAATGATTTTCAAAATGTGTGGGTTTATTAATAAATCAGGATGAAAGAATAGGTTTAAGTAAACAAAACACTTGACTACGTCCATGCAGAAGTATAGTAAACATTAACAATGGAAATGACCGCAAGATCTCTAAGTGTTATTTGTATGGATGCTTATGCCTTCTTTACTTGAAATAATCTATATTTTGCTCAAATAGTTACGGGATTTTCCTAACTTTTTCTGTTTAGAATAGATTAAACAATGCTTTAAAAATTGTGGGATCTATTGTCATGTCAGACTTTCATTTTGCAGAAGCTGTCGCCGATGCAAGTAAAGCAATTGAGCTTGATCCTTCAATGTCCAAAGCATATTTGCGTAAGGGGTAAGAAAACTCTCATGCTATTATGTAAGGAAACTCTCGTGCTATTATGTCCAACCCTTTGTCCTTGTTTATTTGAACTTTTGAAATTCAAAGTGATATTTGGAGGATAAAATGTAAGCATGGACCACCTCATTGCCCACTAGAGTTGGTATAATTTGCACCAACTTGCAGGTCTTGTGATAAAGTCGAGTGTACGTGAAGAACTGGTTCTAAAACTCGCTTAAGTTTGTTAGTTAAAATTAAACATAAAACATTAGTCATGAAAGCCTAGAGATCAAGTCTTTTCACTTTAATCTACGAGTTAAGTCCTGCTGTTTTAATCTATAACTCCATCTCAGTGTTTCATATAAGCTAGAGTCCTCTGTTGTCGAAGGCAGTGGTGAATGTCTAGCTCTCTACTAAAGTTCTACTAAGGAGCATCCCCAAAAGGTCAAAAATGCAGAAAAAAGAAGAAAAAAAGGAAACGGAAAGCAGAGGCAACAGAATTAGCAGTTTCATCATAGAGACTGAAGCGAGAACGTGGCAGAGTAGAGGAAAGTGGGAAGAAAAATGTCAAGACACAATTAAGAGTGATAAAGGAGTGAAGAAGCTTACAATAGTTTAGAAAAACCTTTAGTAACTTGTGATGGTGAAGGATTAAAGAAGGTGACCAATGAGTCTGTAGCGATTATGGTCCAAATGCCTGGTTTGGATCCTTGTAAGATGTCTTTTATCTTAGGAATGGCATGGAAAGGTTTTGTAGTTTGATATTTGTAGTTTTGTACTGTGGGCTTAGGCATGTAATGCTACAAAGATTATTGTGGTACAATTCCTGCTAAGAGTGAACACTGATTATTTGTTCATATTGCCTGATTCCATGATTCGATGAGTTGGCACTGGAAAATGATTATCTTATCTTCTAGGTTTTTACTTTTATAGTCCTTATATTGATTCCAATGTCCTGTTATATGCATTTCTTGATAAATTTCTTTGAAAATTCGTCTGTTGATAACAACGTGCAATTTGCGCTATATATTTGGTTACTTGTAATGTTTGGAGGAATTATAGTTATACATGTTTTTTCTCACAGTACTGCTTGCGTCAAGCTTGAAGAGCATCAGACTGCGAAGGTAGCTCTTGAAGCAGGCCTGAAATTGGCACCTGGAGATCTAAGATTCACCAAATTAATTAAAGAATGCGATGAGAAAATTGCAGGTATTTTTGCACTTTCTTCATGTCCTATACATGCAAAAGAAAAAAAATTTGTTCCCAAGCTATGCACATAAAATATAAAATAATGTGATATCCTAGGTTTGTGAACATGATCTATGGGCGGGCGTCTATGATGCGTCATAAGCAAATTACGTGATACACATTGTTTGAGATTTCAGTAGACGGGGTTAAATTAGTTTCCAAACCAAGAAATTTCTACACAAGTTAGAATAGCTGAAACACATAGGAAAATCTAAAATGTGGTTTTGATGATGCATAATGAATATGAGATGAGAGATAGCAACTAAGAGAGCAACTAGAACATGGATTCAATCATGTGTAAGAATATATGTACTAGTAATCAATAAACTACAATCATGCTAAGATAATTTGCTGAAATGATCAAACATGAAATAAATCATGACTTGCTTCTTTGCTTTTAACTCGTCCAATCGTTCAAAAACATGACAAGTTTAATTATTTAAACCCTTCCAATCATTCAAAACATGACTTGCTTCTTTGCTTTTAACTGCATCAAGTAAATGATGGGTAAACAAAAAGAAAACCCTTTGTTCCTGTAAGTATAGGGCTAATTTACCACCCATGTGTCCCTGTATCTTCATGTTCAAAAATTTCCATGCTGCGTGCCTTAGAATGTTGACATTCATACTTCTTCTGTTTTTTGTTGTTCCATGGAAAAATTGGATTACTAGTGCATTGGCTTATTACAGGCATCTTTTGTGCTCTTTATTTGTTTTATCTTCAAATTCACTATTTTCTATATACTGTGCTTGTTTTACAGAAGAAACCATGAGCTTTTCGAAGAAAGTGAGCAATGCCCCCCCTGCTTCAAATGGAGCTTCTGTGAGTGTTGGGTCCGCACAGGAGTTACCCAAACCATCTACAGCAGCAGCAGCAGCAGCACCTGCCAAACTGAAATATAGGTATTTATACATTTGGTCTAATTGCTGTCTTTTGTTACTTGCTTCTGACTGTGCAATTATAATGTATAACTTGTGATTGGTTCTTATTTTTCACCTATAAAACAGACTTCCCTTATTCATTCTTGGCAGTGTTCTTTGTACTTGTCAAATAATCTTTGTATTCAAATTTTTTAACTTAACGTTTCCATAATATATAGTTTCTTTTATATCTTTTTCTCTTTTGTTTATCTTCAATTTACTTGGGTCTATCATAAGTAGTGCAATGGTGGGTCCTTGCATAGTACATGTGGATTGTATCAGGTAAATATGTGTCATAATTCAAGACTATTCCATGGATCTGTAAATGCCTTCTGAAACTACCCCAGGAATTCATGATAGGTAAACATTCTATCTAGTGGGTGAATCTGCTTCCATAGTGGGTTATTATTTGTTTTTTTGGGATCTGGATC